AAACACGGATAGGCCGAGAGAGGGAGAGAGTGCGAGAACAAAAAGAAAGAAAACACTCTTGAGTTTGTCAGATCATTGCCGGGTGGTTATTTTGGGACAGTTTTTAGCAAAGGAACCCCATTTATCGGTATTCGGCGGATTAAGCTTGTCGAGGTGTGTGGCTAAATACGGTAAGGCGCCTCGGGGCCTCTTGCACACCCCGCCCTGGTTAGAGATCGACGGCTTTCGATGATCATGAGCAGGCCTGGGTCTGTGCTAGCTTTGCTCTCAAAGCTTGCCCCTTAGTGCACCTACCGGCTGAATTATTTCGAAATGAACTGAAAATACAAAAGAGTTCCATTATATGCTTCAGACAATGTATGAATCTGTTTGAGGAAAATTAAAACAGAAATAAAAGAGAATAAAAATTTCATGCAAACGCAAAAAAGGAGGAAGAAAAGGAAATTTCACAAAATGAAATAAAGAAATGCACCCGATTGATTTTTTTCCTGAATTACAGTTGGAATTCTTTTAGAATTAATTATTTTCAATAGCAATCAATACGGAGTCAATTGAGAGACCATTGTTTCATGTTTTCTTAAAGTGGCTTTTCTCAGAATGTTAAAAATAGACACATCTGGTTCTGCATCTAACCTCTTCAAAAGGGACCTAAAACTCAAATGCAATATCTCCATGCTGCTATATTTGAAATTACATTAAGGACAGTTTTTGAAAAATGTTCTTGGATGGCTCTGTTAAATCTTTAGTGGCTCTTCGTGACTCCAGTCACGAAGGCTTAGCTTGGAAACAGATATCACTCAGGTACGGCTGGAACACAACGTTTGTCGAACACAGTCGTCATAATCATTGCCCCTTGATGGAAAAAAGCTAAAAAAAAAACTTTAGGCTCAGCAACAAGGTTTGAAAATAATAGGCTTAGGGGAAAAAACACCGGGAGGGCCTGGACTTGTTTTGCAGTAAACAAGGCAGTGTTCCTAACAGCAGTACACTACTACGTAAGGGCGTTGGCCAAATTTAAAGAAAAAAAAAACACTCGTGACAAAGCAGATTGTCTATATTTGGTCGAATCTATTCAGGGCGTTTACTGCTGAACTGGGCTCCCGGTAAATCTCCAACTTTCACTGGCGGTTGATGCGAACCACGTGGCGACCCCTTTTCAGTCGTCACCACTAATTCAACGCCTGATCTGTCATAATTTTTTTTTAAAAGTCAAAAATCACTTTAGCGAAACAAAAAATAATAATGCAGAGAAGGACGGGATCATCCGGCAAACATAATCGCCAAGAAATGCTTGCCTCGTGGTTCTGAAGCCAAAAATAATTACCGTGGTCAGTTATTACCCATGACCCAGTATCCTCGAATTAGGGCTTGATGCTCGCCAAAGGCTACAAAGGTCGTCATTATATCAACTTCGTTCAGACATTAACAGCAGCGATATTGGGGCTTCAAAATTACGTCACTTTACAGGTTAGAAGTAATGGATGACTATAGACATGTGAGCAGCTGCTCACATATTAACTTATTCATGAATTCAAATTGGCCGATCAACTGGTTTTGAAATGTAAAACGAAAACCTTGAAGAGCTTACAGGGTCCATGCATAATAGTTCTAAATGAATTCTTTAAATTTGACCTTTAGGCCCACATAATCCTATTTTCAATTTTCTTTTCGCTGTAAAGAAGGGTATTTGGAGCAATTTGCTTTATGTTGATACAAATTTACATGTGCGTGAACAAAAGTGAGATATCTTCTCTGGTAAAAACGTGGATATTACAATTGTTTTAGCCCCAACATTTGCCCGAATTTCGAATATTCTGTTACCTTTAATTATTTTTTCTAGGCTAATCAATAGTCTTTCCGTTCTCGAAAGTGAGCCACACTAAAAAAGTTTTTCTCAAAAGTATTTTTCTAAGTGCCCTCAGCTGTAAGAATAAAGAGGGAAAACTGAAATTTTTAATAAGAAAGTGCACTTTCCAATGCAGTTAATCTAGTGAGATGTCAAATGGTCTTCAAACAATGTAAGAGGAGTAAAATATTGCACAAAATTTGTATCTAAAAATAAAATAATCGCACGGCCCTATCATGAAGAAATGGCAAACAATGTTATGTCGCAGGTGTGGCCAGTCTGTCGCAGACGACGTTCTCTTCATACTAAAGGTACCAAAATAGTCATTCATATGCAAAACAAGCATTTAAAAAAATTTACGCTTTCCCACAAAATGAGTTCTTTATGCAACTCAAATGTTTTTTTTTCATGTTCATGTTTTGAATACTGTATTGCGCAAAATCAGTTAATAACATGATTTGGAAACATGAATGAGGGTATACGCCGTTGTTTCATAAACGTATTACGGTAACTAATGTATAACACAACTTCACTTTCGGCAAACAATAAAGTTTGTACTAAAATGCCTGTGCCCTCTTTTAAGAGAAATTACTGTATATTGTGCCCTTATTTGGGAAATAATGAACACCCCTATCGTGCGCACCTGTTTAGCATACGCTTTCAATTAAGGAAGAAGTATATTAGGCCTGTAAGTACCAATCCGTCATGTTGAGGGATAAGTGTTGTGGTATCACAGGGCCCTCGCTCGCCAAACACCGCCTCTCCAAGTGAGTGTCGTTTACGCGCTGCTCTTCGGCCAAGCGAGCAATAAACTAGCAGAATTATATTGCTCACTCAAGAGGCTTCCGCATGTTGGGAAAAAATTGCAGGCCTTCTCTCGATTGTCAAGGCTGCTGATGAGGTTTTTTGTGTGTTTGTGTGTGAACCGGGAAAGAAACGCAAAAAAGGGGAAGTGATACAATTTTGGTCGTTTCCCGCGAGCGCGTAGGCGAAACTAGTGGGCAATCCATCACAGCAGCCGCCTTTCTGTTGCCACGTTCTTCTCCGCGGCGTACCAACGAGGCGAGGTGCATGTCTTCAAGAAAACGGGTCTTGAGTTTGTTAATAGCTTGGACGGGAAACAAAATATTGTATCGACGACGCTGTAAATTACCTGCAATCGTTGTGGCCTTGTATGTAGCGGGATGACAACACGGCTGAGCTGCGCTAGGGTATAAGGTCCCAATGACGTCCCATGAAACAAATTTTTGGCTATTTTTTTGTAAGTCAAACAGCGATTGTTGGGGCGCGTGTTTCAGTGGGATGCTAAGTTTGCCGTCGCGGATGATGTGCGTCGTAAAAAGAAGTCTCGCAGACTCAAATCCCCCGAATAATAGGCTCTTTTAAAAACATGTTTAAGGCGGTTCGTGTGCTCAGAAAATTTTGCTGTACTGGCTTAATTGCCACGTGTGTTGTCACTTTGCATTTTAAAGAAAATGGGGCGATGGAGACAAGATACTCGAAACGTGTCGTTCGCCAAACCTGTTAACAGCTCAGGTACACAGCCGATTGTCCGCCATTTCGACCCCCGAATTGGACATGTACAATTCATTGTGGCATGTTTTGTGTCTTTTCTTTAGTATTCTATCGTGTTGTGAAAACAAACTTTTGTTCGTTATGTTACTCCAATTTAGAATACATAAAAAACCCTGAATTTACTTACAGTGAAATCAAGATTTTATTCCAAATGATGATTTCGTAGCGGGGTGGCTGTGCATGTTAACAGGAACAACGTGGGAATGCTTTACCACATCCAACATCGCGATCTCTAATCAATCACTGCAAAAAAAAGAAAATAGTTCAAAACCACATCTTCGTCAAATAATGATTGATTAAGGGAGTGTTAATTTTCCCATTCTTGACAGCGGAAAAGCTCATTAGAAAATGATAAAAGGTGCCTATACACGCTACACCGACTGATCGCGGCCCAGCATTTATTGTGTGATGACGGCAGCCAGCGATCACGCTGCGACTATTTGTCCAGACATTAGCACTCACTGGCAGGGGAGCGTTGGGCCCATCGCCCGGCCCGGCCACGCGCGCAGTGCAGTGATGTATAAACACGATGGGGATCTCGCGGCGAAAAGGAAAAAAAAAGACATTCACGCGTCGCGGGCTATTAAGGAGCGGGCCGCGGGCCGGCGGGGCTACAAAGCGTCCGCCGGTGCCGCCAGACGTTGGGGGACCCAGCGCCCCGTTGAGGGAGGGAAATGCCTACCCAGTGGGCGGAGATTTATGGGGCTATTTCTATTATGAAGAGGACCATTGGAATGATTGATGTACGCACTGTAGAGTTATCACACGATCCGCAAGCAGTCGTTAAGGGATAGGCATCAGTACAACGCCTCATTTTTAACGTTGCAGACTCCACCAGGTCACGTGGTCTTAATGAATGATGACAAGCGTAGCTAGCATTCGGTTCTGGGCGTTTTCCAATACCAGGCTTCGTCTCCCAAATTGATCCCCGAATGTGGGCAGGGCTCAGATTAAATAGAAATACTTCAGTATTTTCACTTTGTTGCATGTAGTTGGATGTTTTGATGGCACCACCTGATTACTTAGCCAACAATGTCAAAGCCAGAGGGGAAAAATCAGGCGAACCCTGAAACCGAGAGCCTGTTTGTTTCACGCGGATCCAAATCGCAATCAGTGATCTGTCATTGGTTCACTGACACCAGAACCTGCCTAATGGAGAGCGCGAACCAGCCCGGGGATCACTGATCGCAATCCAGATCCGTGTGAAACAAACAGGCCCTGAGACGAAGTCGCGTAGTGGGAAAACTCCTGTTCCATGCATTCTTGCCCGTGTTACCAAAAAATACCTCAAAATAACCTCAAAATATTGTTACAAATTACTTTTTAGCAAGAGGGACAGGTAAGCAGTCTAAAATAGCCAAGTTTTTTCACCACCGCGACTGCCGTAGATAGGGCCAAATGTTGCTTTAATATCGCTGACATTACTGTTCGTCAACACGAGTAAACCCTTTCCCCTAATTGCTCGGTCCTTGGAACCGACAATTCAGGGTTGAACGAGAGAATGTTGTTTCCCCCGAGAAACTTCACGTACCTGAGCCTCTCCTGGTAAGGCGCCATTCAGGATTAACTCATTACGAACATGCGCGCCCATGATGAATGCGTTTCGGGGGACTCCGGACACACCTTGTTGGTAAGGTAACGCTAAAGGTCAGCCTCGCTGACAGGCAATGGAGCCTCGTCCAACCGAAACGATAGAGGGAGCCGAAAAGAAATACCTTGGTGACATCAGCGTGTCCTCTTTCCTTCAATGGAGGTTGCAGGCTACCCAAAACGTTTTGCTGATGCTGCCGTGTCACTCTGTAAATGAACCCAAGGCTACTTGCCAGGAAATGTGCCTGAAATCACATACGCAGACAAAAATCACGACACGCTTACTGTCACATTCTCTGCAGCGCGTTTTGTGGTCACTGAACAGAGGGTGTGTAAAAAACATTGAGAAGCCTAACAGAATTGCCAGTTTGTATTTCTGTGAAATTTCGACAAAACGAACCCCTTCATTTTGAAAAATGGCTGTAGGCTTGGACATGGACATGCTTGGATGGGATTTTGCTCCAAGTGTCACTCGTTGACCAAGTGACAGTTAAACTGAAATGAAAAAGTGGGAATTAAGCTTGAACTTGATGTGTGCCTTTAGTACGTCAGAGAGTTATGAGTATATGTTTCACCCTTTCTTTAGATGAGGGTACTTTCTTACTGATGTCTATGGTTAAGGCAATTTTTGCTTCACTTGTCTGCCACCAGCTTATGTTTAAAATAATTATAGTCGACTCCACGCCAACCGCGCCCCTTAAGGCCTGTCAGTCAACATACGTGGGTGTTAAATACGATGCGTGGTTGATACGTTGGCTATCCGTTTCAAGGTCGTGCCAGGATGCCTTATAATTTCCCTGAGAAAAAAAGTTACTTTAAACGTCTGGCAGAGACATTTTTTTTGGGGGGGGCGTTTTGACGTTTTTCCCCTTTCCTTCTCAAGGCGAGCAGTTCTAATTTTGAATGCTGCTTACGATACGGACGTGGTTAAGGTTCACTCTCCAGGCCCACAGCAGCAGAAAACGTTAATCGCGACAGATCGATGCCTGGTAGGATAGATCCTTGACGAGCACGTCGTACCAAACAAAACAGGATAGATAAAGAAACGGGCACTTCGAGCCAACAGCTTAGCATCGAGACCGACACTGGTACGAACAAACAGATGGACGTGTGGGCCAACCTTACAATCAAAATGAAACTCTTCTGGAGAGCTTAGAACTTGTTACATGTTATTCAGTGAGGGCGAGCCCCCTTGCCTTAGCTATTTCCCTTGAAGAACACCGACTATAAGTAGTGTTGGTTAGAGAATTGTTCCGATTTTTGGCCGTGTACATGTATATCAGACGCATACTTCGTATTTCCTTTCCCTTTGTTTTTCCTTTCAGTTTAGTAACTCATCAACAATGAGGGCGCTACTCCTCATCGACGTCATTTTCGTCATCATGGCCGCACCAATCAGCGCGTGGCAGAGAATCTGCGGGGAACAGTTGGTTGAGACTGTGTCTATCGTCTGCAACACGCGGGGCTTCTATAGTCACAGGGAGAAGCGAGAAGGTTTGTGATTGACACATTCTGTAGCCTGACCGTCCAAGTTGAGGATGAACCAAGCATGCACCGGGACTAACCTGTAATTTTTTGGTGACTCCGCCCGTCCAGTGAATTCAAACCGTTTTCGCTGTAGTGGAGTCACCTGCCTTGGCGTCGAGGCTTATTAGAAATTCTCGAATTATAATTGCTTCCTTTTTTAATTGTGAATCACCGACCCGCGGCTTTCACTTTGAATTACAAGACCTCTCATAAGAGTTATAAACAAGAACTTGGTATCATCTGGCTCAGGTTGCCCAGGCTGATGATAAAATGATGAACAGAACTTCCGAAGCAGACTCTTGCTTTCACTACCTGGTGCCTTGGGGGAAAGATATAGATCGATGAGAGTCTTGCGCTATTACGTCATTGTTACCAGTCTATTTTGGTCGCAGCACAGAAGTATAATAGCTATTGAAGAGTGCGCTATAATAGGCCTGTGATGTCCATCCTAATAATACTATCAAGCCATAAACGTTTTAGAACTCTAATCGCCATTTTATGGTCAGATTATGTGTATAACTGGCATTATTGAGGTGGTTATTAATAGCTCTGACAGTTTTATGAGGAAGAAAAGGCTCGGTGATTGCATTATATGCCTTGAGCCTAAAACTGTTTTTAGAAGAACTTGACAATATAATTCATGCATGTTTGACAGCAATTGCGTCACCACTAAATCAAGGGAATTATCATTGTTGATGCTTCTTGTTACATAACGAGAGACGAATTTGAGATGACTGGTATGCTGTGGTTGTGCATAATTATCATTAAGCGTTTCTGGTAATGAAACCAGGGATTCCTCAAAAGCATCCTAGGGACCGTAGCTTGTAAGCCCGAAGAAACACGCAAAGAGGATACAGTGAGAAGAGGTTAAAGTTTTAGTAATGGGAAGAAAACCCCAAAGGAATATTTTGAGAAAAAACCCATGGAATCAAATGGGGACTGAAACCCCAATCCACATGTGGATTGATCCGGGACTCGAACCCGGGCCCAGAGATAGAAGGCGAGGAAAAAAACACGACGCCAACCTGACTCCCATAATGCATAATGCTTGCGTTTGGTAAGGTTTGACCGTTTGTACTCATTTGAATACTGCTGTGTCACCCTTATGCAGCCGAGCTTTTTCAGGATGAACGCACCGCGAAAAGTTTCTTGGGAACCCACATCGGCTCCAGGCAGCGTAGGCGGACGGGCCGGATCGCCACGGAGTGCTGCGAGAAAGTCTGCAGCTACGACATCGTGGAGAGTTACTGTAACCCGTGGCCGGTGGTGGAGGATCGGGACGACCCGATGCTGGCCCCCGTGGCCCCCGGCCGGGTCCGGCAGGACAAGTCGGCCGACGCCGACCTGTTGCTCCGGCCGGACATCGCAGAGATCAGCGAGGACAAGTCGTCGCTGCTTCGGCAGGCGGCGGAGAAGGATGAGCCGATCGACGACCTGGACACGCTAGAAAACGAGTACGCGGACGGGGGAAACGTGATGCTCCAGGCCCGTGAAGGGGTGAAGGAAGAGGGGGCAGAGCTTGGAAAGGAAATGGAGGAGGGTGGGGAGAAGATGCCCTTCCCTGAGGTCGTCCCGACGAAGAAGAGGAGGCGAGTGGAGGGTCGGCGGTCGAGGGAGAATAGCAGGGACAGGAATGGCAAATCAGAAGGAAAGAGCAAGAGAAAGAGCGGAAGCAGGGAAGGCGGTCGATCCTTCCGTCGGAGGGGGAAGAACTCCAGAAGGAAGAAGGGCAGAGACGGACGTGAGAGAAGCAAACGATGGGAGGCGTTGGTGACCTCTCACCCACCAACAAAAGACATAGTAAGTGGTTGAAATGCATCGTGACATATTCTTCGATACCAGGCAAGATATGGGACGGAAGGGTACCCCCCTTACCTGTCGAATCCCTATAAACACTCTAGACAATTGTTACCTAACACATCCCCCTAGAAGTCTGTGGAGAATTCCTGAGATTCCGATCAAACAATGACCAACACGAAGGGGGGGGGGTTCTCCGTCCCATATCTTGCTTCAAATGTATTCTTCATAAGTTCGTCCAGGAGACGAGAAAGTTTATCTTTTGAGCCTTTTGCCCTTGTCCTTCTCACCAATGTTAGTTTGTTTCAATCTGTCCTAATTGTTACCATTTCATAGGTGCAGTGTCTTCAACATCACAAATACCGTTCCCACATCACCACACCAATCCTAATCAACGTTTTCGTGTCATAACAAAAAATTCTATTCTTTTGACTATCACCACCATCCTTTACTTACAGTCTTCACCACTCCGACAGCCAAAGGAGGACACTCCCTCCAACTGATCCCTCTTACGACACTAATTAAACAACAACTATAGCATTTTACGCCTCACCAGCGTCTTGTACTTCGTCAGGTTGACGCCTTGAGAAGTGCCTTGCGAGCGGCAGGCAGGTCACCATCACGCGTGGCCGGCAGCTTCGCCCCCGACGAACAGCGCAGCCCTTTGGGCACCCCAGCGGGCTTGCAGCACCGATCTGGCCTCGACCCGTCGGGCAAGCCCCGCCCAAGCTACCGAGTCACCCAGAAAGACAACCAATCGACGCTAGAGGCCTTGTACAATCTGGCATTGCGGCTGTCCAGGCCACGACGAGGTTGAGATAATAGAAACACACCAAGAGTTGGTAAGGACTGGACTTGAAACACAGCGCCCTCTTTTGTTGCGTGGGCGATTGAACTTAGACCAAGTTGTTGCGTCACTGTTTCAAACAATGTGCTTTTTGTTGTTGTCGTCCTCGAATCAAATGATTACTGTTTAATGCGTCCCCTTCACAAACAGTCTAAAATTGTTAGTGTTGGATTGTTCGGGGTCGTTCAGGTTCGCCTGAGTGCGGACAATTATATTCTAACAATATATGAAAATCACAACCAAAAATGCTGCAACCGAGTACCAGTCTACGGGTGCACATGCGCACTCAACAAAGCATGTATGATACTCTGTACAAAAACTATAAAAAAAAAAAAAATCAACTTCGCACGAATTTTTAAAATCCGTCCAAGCTAGTCTAAATATAAAGTGCTACTTATCTTTTCGGTTTAAGTAATATTATGTGTATTACAAGCAGACGTGCATGGATACATGTACTTATATTTTTGTTGCTATATTTATCTCTTCTGCTGTTTTAATTTGTTTTTCAACTTGTAGTTCATTATTATAATAATTGTGGGAGGAGTTTAACACAGAGAGAACATATTTGTGACATCTGTACTTATATTTTGATAAGCGTTGTTTTACGGTACCTGTTATGTTCAATATCACAATAAGAGCATTCAGCATTCAGACTTTTTGTTAGCGATTTTTCATGACACATGTCGAAGTTGAACGTTGGTGGCGCCCTTTTTGAAGAAATCGAACCCTTGCTTATTGTGATCCTCACCCTTTATGAAGAATTCTTTTGAACAATGAAATCGAGATGAGAAAAGTTCACTCCTTTTTTGTGTGCATCTCCTATGAGGACAGTGAAACTTTTATCTGTGCAATACTGTGTGGTACTCTTAAATTAGTGTTTATCAATCTAATCTATTTTAATATCGAGATTGATTTGTTCTTTTTGTGAATAAAGTACAAAATGACGGCTTCTCGTAGTGAATAGCAAGAACATTTCAACTTAACTGACGGTAGTATTAGTAAACGAAGAAATGTATAAATAAGCATAGAATAATATATATGGCAAACAATTATATTTTTATGATTATTGCTTATGGGATGTTTAATGTTTCGTCTCGGCACTTGAGTTGTGTAAGTTTTGATGTTTGTATGCTATTTATCCACCAAGAAGAAATCCAAAAAGACGCTAGGTACACGATCAAAGTATTTCTGTTTTTTAAAGGGAAACAAAATATTGAGGAGGAAAACGGTTCCTGTAATACTGCTGTCTGTTGAAATGAGATGCATTTCTTTAGGCGACTCATTAGCAATGAGTGCCAAATACCGGCTTCAAGATCCTTATTTTTTTCTCTCTAAGTTTGTTTGCCGTGATGTCTTTTGCAGTAGTGACACAGACAGGTATGGAAATTGGCCAAGAGAGCCGTCAGTGGGCCTGCAGAGATTTGCGACAACTGTAAACCAGGAGCCTTTTTTGTTCCAAAGACCCCATGCGTATTTACGCGCTGTACTGTCTATCATCGAGCTTTGTTTAATCTTTAATGATGTCACCTCGAAGCACTACTTCTGCTATTTTCCGTTCGATAAGAACAACCCCGCGTAAAGCAACCCACCATTTTTAGAAACGGGATGCTGCTGAAGTGTTTTTTTTCACCGCACAACCTCATGTCGCAACCCTAGCTGTGTACGGCTCTGACTGGCTTTAAGACGGTGGCTTACGGCGAGAGCAGACCAAAGAATCTTGCACTCGAAATCCGCCTGCTCATTTCTTACCTTTATCTGCGAATTAGGAAATGGGTTCGTCAGTTGCTCGAGATCAATGATTTCAAAGGAGTGGGCAATGTTTGGTGAGGAGTCGATTCATTGTGTGGGATGAAAAAGTTCAGTTTCCCAAACTGATTCGAAAAAGCGACTCTGGTTTAGAGGTTGAAAAACATCAGCATGATCAAAATATTTTATATTTTGTTAAGTTTCCTCTGTAGTTGTGTGCACAGTCAAAACAAGTACAAAATACTACCTGAGAAAAACTATGGATCCTGTAACATTTTGCAAAGCTGTTTAACTCGGCTTACTGGAAATATTTTGAAGTATATTGCAGTCAAACTTCATTTAAATGTGTAAATGTTATACCCTTAACGTCTATGTACTCTATCTTAGTCGTAACCATGTTTAAATGAAACTGCAAAATAAATATGTTGCCATCTTGTTATCACTCACTCGATCTTCCTCTCTCCTGTTTGTTTTGTTTGATATTTCGATCATCACTGAAGTACATGTATTTTGACGATTGGACTCCCAAATTTTCTCAAATTGTTGACTCAACGTCTACCGCACAGTTGTATGCTTGTGTTGGAGCTTGACATTGGACTAGTTGATGCAATGACTGATCACCTATCTTTGGAAACAGAATGGCTTATTTGTGAAATGCTTCGACATCTATTTGTTTTGTTATTATTTAAGAGGCCATTCGATCTGCAAGTGCACCATTACAACGTAAGAGCAATTGTGTGTCTGGATACAGTTAGATGCTCGTTCTCTTCTCTTCCTCATTCTGAAAACACAGCGATATTCACAGTTGAGAAACAACTACATGTACACGTATTGCCTTAGTTTTTTTACCCTTTGTTTCTAAACTTGGTTCAGAGATAGGCGGACAAAGAGACGGACTGAAACTACAGAGAGTGGTTCAATAAGGGACAAACAAGACAGAATTTGACACGGCATATATCACTTGTTTTTCGAAACGATGAAAGTTTTATTCCACTTTCATTTCTCGATTGCAACCAAAAAAAGACATCAAACAATGCGGGCGCTTGCAGTGCATCCCATGGTGGGAGAAGGTCGGCTGAATCCTGCCGACAAACATCTGTAGTGTTAATTGAAGGAAATACCTCCTTCAGCTTTTCGAATCCTCTTTATGGGATATCCTATCTATGCTCTTGTCTGCATGTGTTCACGTGCGACAGATGCACTTTTACCATCGTTGCGATCTGGTTGGAGTACAAAAGTCTTTGATTTACCCAGGTATAAACAGGTATCAGGCCATCAGAGACTAAAGGTTGAAAGTTAACAAGCCAGCACAAGTCACAACGAATCCCGCAGCGAGTGAATGAACTATTAGTCAATCTTGTCTGTCTGATAATGCCAGGGATTAGCGCAACTATTGTTCGGGCCGTCTGAATAAACGCCACCGGAGGGGCCAGCGGGCAGGCAAGAGAAAGCCCCAGAAAATGACGGTGACAGGACGTGAAGCGCGGGCCCGCCCGCCCAGTGACAACGGTGCTGACCTGGCCGCCTCGTGGTGCCCCCTCCAACTTGGGCTCCAGGCCCTCCTGCTCCCAGATCTGAGAATCCACCAAAGACACCGAGACCTTTGGAACTTCCCCCCGAATCTCTCTTGTCACAACCCAGACTATTTTCACTCGCATCTCGAGCAGCGAACCAGCAGAATCTCAAGAACTGGCTGCAGAACACAAGAAACTGAAAATAAAATCTGTGTGGCGACTGAACTAGAAATCTTCTTCTGTGTGGAATACTACTGTCCAAAGTCTGGAGCGGGACAGAAGTAACTACACGTAAGAACAAACACAGCAAGAAGCAGGTAGGTGCCTTCTGATCTGACTCATTCTTTGTTCTTAACAAGACAGGTCCGTTTAGTGATAGGAAACTTAATAATCGTGCCTTGTGTTAAAATGGAAATACGTGTTGTAAACCTTAATCTAATAAATCTTTGTATTGCCATTCGGCTTGCTAGAAGGAAATGGTCAATTGTCCTGGTCGTAAATACTGTTTTCCGAATTTTGAATGGAAATCAGAACGTGGTTTATTAGTTGTGACCAAATATAGGCCAGGAATCCCTCGGATTTTTTTATACTTCTACTTCATTTGTGGGTATAGGCCTATTGCTGTTTGATATTATAGCTCTGAAATGTTCGGCTTTGAATATCTGAAAATATGCATCAGTCGCAGAAGGCATAACCAAGGAACTGTGAATCTTTAGTCGATTTTACAGAACTGATGCTCAGATGTCCCGATTCCCCTTAGAATAAAACCCCCAAGAAAGTGAATGAAACATGCAAGGAGCCTTTTAAACTGAAAAGTGACTTCTGTTATTTTATAGATTTTTTAAACTGTCATTGGAACTTAACGAAGTCAAATGTTCAAGTTTGCACTTAATGATTATGGGAGTGATGAGTTATTTGATTGTGCCTGAATAGATGCATAATTGTATATCATACCAATTTAGGCCTAATATCGGCGTGTTCTCGGTATGCTGGCACAATTGGCGGAAGATTGAGCACATCAAAGGGCTCTTTAATGCTTAACTCCACGACCTCGACGATTCTTGGTGTGCAAGGGGGATTAGGGGTGTCTTTTCACTGGAGATGTTTGAGCGCACTACCCGTGAACGATACGGGGCGACGCAGCCGAGAATGCCCCATTCAGGTCGGAATGCTTGGCCGACCTTGTGGGGAGGTGGCTTCCCTCTCGCGAAGTTATAAATGTTGCATTTGTCAGTATGACGCAGAGTTGAGCTTCATTCCTCTGCGAATTCAATTTAGCTCTTAGTTATGGCCACACAAGCTAACAACCGGAGGCGTGTCTGGTACACACTTCTGAACCCCAGCACTCTCACCTCCTCCGTCAGAAAAAAGCAATTTATTTATTTATTTATTTTTGGCCCCCCCCCCAAATTGGAAGAATCATGCACGCCTATATTTGGACTTACACCTGCAGATTTCTTTGCACAGCTTGTCAGCTGCAGCTCTTTTCAGAGCTATTCCCTGAATCCTTGAATTTTTTTTGGTTATAATATCCCATATTTGGCATAATTCACTGATAGTTATCAAATGGTAACTGGTTCCAAATACAGCACATAAAATAACAACAAAGATTAATACCTTTAATGGGAATGAAACAAAAATCAGACATCGAACGTCTGACTTAAGTAAACATTTTACACAGCCTGTAATAGTCAAGTGCATTTCTATTGTTTGCGTAGGATAACTACTGTGCACTTCTGTGCACATTGATTCTGTCTAGGTCTATTATTCTGAGCTATTTCAGGACAAGTGGTCGTAATGATTTTCCAGGGATGTAGTGGGTTCATTACTGATTACGGCCTTGACTAAAAAGTTCAAATTGACCGTGGGCATACAATATTCAAGAGCCAACTCACGATTGTAACTTGTCCCAACCGGAATGGACAAGAACTTCTACTCGGAATTTCATTCTCTTCATTGTGCGGTGACGTCGGCTAGAATGGCATTTTGTGGAGATGTTCTTGCGACATTGTGTTTGCTAAACCTGTCTCTCCAAGAAATGAAACAGCAGAAGACAAGACAATTACGTCTCGTCAAGAAATTTTCTTCACCAAGGAGGCCAGACAGGCGAGGGCAGCGCTGTTTACGACAACCTGGGTGCTTGTTGAGTGTTGCGCGCACGTGGCGTCTGAGTGACTGCGGGTTGGACCTTGATCAGTTTTCGAGTGCACTTGTCGTCGGGATAGATACGAAACAATGGGATGAATTGCAGCATATTGCCCAATACATATCATTGACAAAATACCATTGTCTTTGGTCACGATATATGGAAACAAAAACCTGTACACCTTCACCTGAAGCCACCACCTGCAAACGTTCATGTTCCGAAATCTAAGACAAACGTGAATTATGAAAAACTAATTTTAATGAAGAGCGACGTCACTGCAAGTGTTGTGCAATGCATGTAGAATTTAAACAATATGAAGCTAATGCATTTTCAAATGAGGGTTCGAACTAAAAATATCAAGTAGTGCAAAATGTTTGAGAATCAAAAACATGAAATAAGCATTTTTTTCAACCCGAAGATATCAATTACCGCTGATAGTTCTGTCATTGTGGCTTTTTTTCAACAGCTATAAGTTATTCGTCTTATTTAGTGGAAAACAAACACTAGTATTGAAATTGAAGCTTTGAACCATAATTCTTTGCCACAAGGTGTACCTTGACAACGGTAGCACAGCACTAGATATGCCAAAACCATTATTTTTGTATAGTCCAGACAACACTCAAGGGGTCGCTCAAGGGGTTGTCTTGTGCGGGATAGGGCCATTTAGCCGAAGATTCGGCAGGCCAGGAACCCGTTCGTAAACGCTGAGGTTAGAAAACATCGCCCGCTGAACCAGTAATCTCCCCAAACAAGAGCTTTTATAAAGCGAATCTGATTAGGGTCATTGTCTGCTCCGTTTAGGGGACAAAAAGTCCGGAGTTGTTTACTCTAGTTGGCTGAAGAAAAAATGGAGATGCAGTTAATGAGGTATACAAGGGTTTTCGAAGAGTTTGGGGAGGCACGTAGAGTGTAGTGCAAGTGATACAATGGTGCCCACCCACGATTGTGTAAGAATTATGTTGATCCATGATGGATCAAAAGACTTTTGAGCACGTTGTCTGCTCACTGATGATGCGCTTCTAGAGGAATACAATAGGCCGCCGTTTTGGGGAAACATTTACTCCATCTGCAATCATTTCGTCATAGTAGCGTTTGAATTTCCCTCTGGATATTTTTTAAAATGATTTTCGACGAAATCTCCATCCAGCTCCAGCTGATAGTGACGTAGCTGTTACTCCCATGGTTGCACAGTCGAGCGCCCTCTGTAACATAACTGGTGCGCCATATACGCGAAGTCCGTTACCTACTTGTTCGATCGCTCACCGAACCCCACCGGCCGAACGGGTGACAAAACTTCAACTCAAGACCTCCGGCCAGCGTATCTTTTCTGAAAAGGAGAGTTCGATTTCTTAAATGCACAGGTTGGCTCCAAGAACACTAACGGTGTAGTTTATACTGCTTATGATGGAAGGGGGCCATACATACTACGAAACGACGGTCTCGTGCGCAAAGGAAAAAATGTGATTTTAAAATCTTTTTACAGAGCACTAAAAGTTCCACTTAAATTAGAAACAAATAGCAAAAACGATTTAATGGGATTTTCTTAAGAAAAATTTGAACAAAGTCAGAAAACCTGAGAGAAAATTATGATCGAAGTCGCACCTCTGTACCTTTTCAGTGTCCCGCTCACAGTTCTTGCCGCCAAGGGTATTTGTGCGCATGCGTGCAGAATGCGTCTGTGGAACTAAATTTCGCCTGAATGTACACAAACTGGTAGCGTTTTCGCTAGGGCGTCAGGCGCAATCTGACCCTGCTCTATGCTCTGACAACGAGACAGTTCGGTATTCCAACAGCGCATGCTCAGTGCAAAGCGATTTGGGAACAGCTACGCGCGCACGCGATAGTCATCAGGTGCGTTCGATTAGCTTACACGTGTAAGTCAAACTTACACGAGAGCGTTCGTTTAGCCACCACGTGATCTTCGTGCCTGCCCTGGTGTCATCCACCACTACCCCAGCTGGCGAGCGGGTCTCTGGAGGCTGCCCGAGTGTAATGACGTCGAGCATGGACGTACATGTATATGATGGAACGTGGCGGGGACTTGACCTTTTTCCCAGAATGCCTTGGAAAACACACTGCAGCGTTCGATTAGCCTCATTTTGAGGCTTCCCTTGAGTGTAACACTGGTGTGTTCAGGGAAGCTAATTGAACGCACCCATAGAGTGCTAGCTTCTCATTCTCCGCACGGAGAATCTGACGCCGTGCTGGGTACAGACATTTTTGGATCCATGTGCATGTTTGTAGAACATTTTGAAATAAGATAAAATGAATATTAAATTATGTATTCTAAATGCAACCCGCATCGGGTACCGCTAAAATCCGATTAAAAAGTCACGTCGAAATTATCTGCAGCGCGTACGCGCACGCGTTTACGTTGTTTACGCAGAGCAACGCTCATTTATTGATTGTGTGTTAGTTTTATTGCGTATTGCCTTGCTAATAGGTTTTTGTACAAACATGTATTCGCCCAGCAGGCATCACTTTGTGCATGAGTCATTGCTCTAATTTTTATAAATAGCTCTATGATTTAGATGGAATTTCAGGCTATTCATAGTGAAAGACAGCAATAGGAGGAAAGGCTCTTATGAGTATGTGTGGTTCTGAAAAGAACCGGGAGTATACTAAACGTTTCGGACTGCGTGCTCAGTCCGTCGTCAGGAGACTGAAGAGATGCTGAAGATGGAGCTGTTTATATAGGGTGACTGGATGCAGTGGGTGTGACCTATTGCTCTATGATTTAAACAGAAAAACCCAGATTTAATTAGCATTATTTCGGAACTCAGGTTTGAGCGATACGGGCGCCCTCGGTTATTGGCGTTTGTCTGCCAATGTCTTCATATAATTATGCATGGCAACATGTTCAGCAGTTGAATCGCTCAGCGACTCGTGACAAAAGTAAGCAAACGCGTAACAACGAGTTTAAATTTAGCCACGATGTGAAGTGCCTAAAGAACAATGACATCCAAGGGATCGAAAGTCAACAAAAAAATTCTGGCAGCGCAGTCAATGAACTCTGCAGAAGCCGAACCGTCCAAAGCGAAGTTGACGGTACCCTGTGTGGTACCGCCGCTCGCCAATTCTCACCGTGCCTAAGCGGTCTTGGCATAAACTCGTTAACGTTAGGCGCAACCATCACCGCATTTGGATTGGCAACAATTTTCTTTGTATTGTAATATGAGGGGTGTTAGGCCCCTAAGGTGTTAGGCGGCGTCAGTATCGTTCACGCGGCTTTCGCCCTGATGGGTACAAGACACGGGCGGTTTCTCTCCCGGGTGTTCTGTTCTGTCGTGGGTTCAGTGGGCGACTGTCAAGAGCCTCGACGGTCGAGCCAAAAAGCCAAAATTAAGTCAAAGTGGGATGCGTTTGTCTACGGAACCTAATGCAGTCTGTGAGTTTCCAGGAACTTTCATCCTGTGCAACATCACCCAAAGATTAATTCTCAGTGTATTGACGGTGTCTCCTACTGGACATTTTTAATGGCACATTGCTTTCATCGTCTCTCTAGAAATCCTTTATTTCAAGAAATAAAGTAAGAGTCAGTAAATATTTCTTGACTAAATTATGTATTCCCATAACCAGATCTCTTCCTGCGAGCTGTTGTACACCGTGATAAAAATGTCGATCCTGGCGTCTTTCAACCCCCCCCCCCATTCTAACGTACGCAAGATTACATAGCTCAAACTGGGTAAAAGTGTAATATTTCAGCGGTATATGACAACTTTGTCGCGCGACTTTCTAGTCGATGTTACTACCACTACAGAAAGACCTCTCCACTTATTGCCCAGAGTCTTTCCTTTTAATCAGCGGCTCCCCTAACAAAAGAAACCTTTACACTTGCAATTTCAAAGCAAACAGAAAGGTCACGGTTGTAATTTTCCAGCACAGATAAATAAGCAAACAAAGCGACCATATCACTTTTCGAAGTGGATACACTTACACTTTATTTGATTAGAGTGTGCCGTTCGACCTCACAGCAAAGTGGCGAACCACAGGAATGAACGAGCGGGAAAATGGGCCCACAAAAATGTAACAACTTCCATCTTGAGCACGTAATAAGCCCCGCTGAATGGCAGCAAACGACAATAGATCAAAGTACGCAGTGGGCGGAAGTTTTCAGTTACACATGCAAAAATGCCCGTCAGCCCCCGGCCGAATATTTTTCTCTCCTCCCGCGACAAAAGAGCAACAGTAATTTAAGCCCCAAGCTGGCAAACTATTGTTTTAGTGGCTAATTTTTCATGGGTACTGGTTGTTTGCGGGGAAAACAAAAAATGGAGTGATTTGGAGCGAGCGAAGCCTCCCAGGAGAGGCAACATTATAGTCCGAGCGTACGGGTGGCAAAGGCCGAGACGCCGGCCCGGCCCGCCCGCCGTGCCGCCACAGTGCCAGCGCATTCTTGCGTAGGAGGTGGCGGTTTTTTAGTCAAGGCAAAATATTTTCTTTGTAACGGTTCATCAGAAGTTTGAAGATCTGTGAAGCACCCAGGGCATCGTCTGTTGTTTGATTTGCGAAATTTTTGTTTGAACCTCATTAACGCTCACCTTAGCTCCAAAACAGAAGACATTAATAACTGCAGATAATGTGCACATGCATGTGAGTGACTTTTAACAAGTACAAATGGGTAATGTTTTACGAGGTGGTAACGTTGAGGAAAGTGGGCGTGGTGGAATTGTTACGGATGAGGAACGGCAAGAATGCTCAATAAAAGTGGCTAATTAAACCAAATGACCGATGATATTTACGTTGTTGCACTTAATTAGTAAATCTTTAAGACTTTGACAAAACCTTCCAACCTTCCTTGTTGATAACTACTAATCTTCGATAAGTGCTGGGCTGGCATTTTGAGTTGTTACCACCAAACACACTATTTTTATATTTCTGCGAATCTTTGTTATTCGGAACTTTTCCGACCTCAAGTTTGTTTGGTTTTGCATGCGTTTTCATTTTCCTGAATCGGCTTTCATTTTGACGTGGCCTCAAACAACGAGGCGTGAAAACAACGTCCCTTCAGGGCCGTGCACCGACAGACAACTCGCCCGGCTGACCTTCTCGGTCTCGCCAAACATTTGTTGTTACTGTGTATAATGGGGAATAAAAGAAAGACAAAAGGAAAACTGTTTCTGTTGTGGCTTTTGCATCTTTACGAGCCCACCAGCTACTCGGACACCCGGGGTGTCTACGCGCGGGACAGTTCAATCATCTCGGATGCCCCCGATCGGCCCTTCTGTCGGCGGCGCAAGGGGGCCGGGGCTGGGAGCCCCGAGGCCCGCAGTGACCCCGGACTCGGACCGGTCAGTTAAGAGTGCCCCTCATCGCCGCGGACGGGCACAGCTAGCTAAGAGAAAGAAAGGTATTACTGGACACTGTCACAAACACTGGGTGCTCTCAGACATAAACAGTCAATCACGGTGTACGTTTGATGTGGGCACGGAAGGAGAAACATTGATTTTTGGCAGTTGAAAGATTTCTTGGCAACTCGTTTTCTTTGAAATTAATGATTTCCCCTTATGTAGGAGGCACTAACCTGATTGGTACCCATAAGAACATAACATAACAATAAACAATAAATTTACATTTGTCTTCAGTTGCAAGTTCCATTAAAAAAAAAAAAGATCACTCAGAAGTGTTCAGTGTTTACAGTTAGAAAGTACACGGGCTCGTCCGTTACTCTGCCGTTGATGATCACCCCTGTGTCCGTTTCTTAGCCACTGGCAACGGCAACAATTGCTGCCAACTACCCGGCATCACTCAACGCAGCCGGATCATCTACTACAAATGACCAAACACCCCACTTACCCCTCAACGCAAACTGCGAGAGCCACCCCTGGCTTCCCTGCATCAACCGCTCAATGCGCTAGCAGGCACCATCTGTTAGCGTACCGGGGATAATCCGCGTTGACACAGCCCGGGAAACATGAATTAATAAAAACGTCCGCTCTAATTTGCGAACTGCCGATAGACGGTGCAGTTAGTGATTTTGTTAGCGCCAGCCTTCAGCACGTGAAGACCAAAAAGACAGAAGTCGCCGATTTTTTTTGAGGTAATTCATTCATCCACCGATCGTTTTTTATTAGGTCAAATTCAACAACATTACTGGGTCGAATAGCTTTAGGTGTTATTTTACATTCGTAGGGAAGGGACCAAACAGAACCTCACTCCATATTGTAAGCAAGCGAGAGTTTTTCCCTTGGCATCACGGCAAAAACCTACACGGCAAGAAATTGGCATAGATTTCTCATAAAAATCTCGGTCACCTTTCGTTCAGAATAAAAAGTGCCAAGTACGGAACCCCGAATGAATCGCGAAAAGCATGACTGCATCAGTGCACTAGACTAGACAAAACCAATCCGAGCTCCCGACTATACCTCCCTACGTTTTCCCAGCGGAGCCCGGCTCGTTTATTTTCAGGCGTCTTTCCTTGGAATAAGTTTCAATATTTTTGTGAGCAGGGCTTGACGAGTGACAGCGATAATGGAGTCGACCTATTTAGAGGAAAACCAGAAACTTGTTTCTGCTGGGTTTGTGAACAACAAAACTGTGTCAAGTGTTTGGTTTCTTCCGAATTAGTTACCCGAAGAATACCACTTTGCACAAAATTACCACGCTGTACTGGCAAGGATGATAAAAGTGAATAAAATGATAAAATCCTTCACATGCATCAGAGACCAAATTTGAAGTGGGCGGGGCAAACTGGACAACAAGTGACAATGTGACACCCACGGCCTTTAACACCGAACTCCAAAGTAATTGGCAATCTCATATGTTCTCCTGAACAACTTTGTATCGGCTTATTAATCAGAGTAACTCAAAACACGATGCAAAAATACTGAAATGAAATGTCATACCCTGTCAGATCTGTATTAGTTCCGAAGGCCACCCACATAATTTGAGAGTTCACCCGCGCGGCGACGGCGTTGTCAAGCCGTGGAGCTAGCCCGCCACAAACTCCCCTGAGACCGGCGCTTGGTTTAACTTGATGTCTCACATTTTTTGGCAGCGTTTATTGGGCGCCCGACACAAGCCTGGCAACAAACAACAGCTAACTTAAAGGAGCCCACTTTTTGACAGTTCTCCAAGCGATCCGTAAATTGCGCGAGACACAAAATTGCTCAATGTGCAAAACACGCAGCAACCTCCTCGTATATAAAGCATTAATTCGAGTGCTTTTCTTTTGTCAAGAAAGATAAAGTTGGCGTCTCCCAGGAGGCTGGTAGTCTGTTTCCAACGACGGTTGCTACAGCCACAGTTCAGAGGTCACAGTGAGCCTTTTTTATCGGGTCGCCATCTTGCTTTGGACCCATAAATGCACTAATAGGTGTCCCGTTTCGGGTCCCTTACTTTGTTAGTCAAAAACTTCTAACAACCTCGTCTGTGTGTAACGGAACATTACTCAACCTATATTCAAATGGTATTTCTGTATTTGTCAGGCTGTCCAAAACCCTCACATCTACAAAAACCACAAAAATGGTTCGTGAATTTATGAGCGTAATCATATTCCACGATAAAAACAAATTCATCGTCTAGTGTATGCTGATAACGTTTCCATGCCGATACAACGATCGACCCATCGATACAAGCCCTCACTCTTTCCGAACTGAAGGCCCTCAAACTCGTTCCAGTCCACTGCAAACCCACGTCTCAACCTAACTTCCTCCCGGGTTGAGATTTCAGGAAACGCCCGCAGCGAGTAAGCTCAAGCAATAAACCGCTGAGCCGGTCTATCCATAACCGTGCAGAGCTTGTCAATGAGCTCTAGTGTTTCGTTGTTCAGAGGATAAACTCATTAGATGAGCTACCGCATTTTACCATGACCTACAGGTCAGGTCGATGAGTTGGGATGACATTTCACGAGCAGCACCAGTACCTAATAATGATGGTAATGATAAGATTTTTAATGGTCCAAATAGAGAATGCTCGCCCTGGATTTTGAATGGAAACCCCATAGCGTCATTATTGTACTCATCCATGCGTAGGCGTGGGTCGAACATGGCCGATTAGATAGATATCGATAACATGGTTTGTGTGAAATGAACTTTTATGAAGTTTTTGAACAGATGCAGTTGTTATTATGCATGTTGCCAAGCTTGCGAGTTTCGTAAGTATTAATGCACGTGTCCGGAGCTTGCTAGTGCTGCCTCTATTTCGACCAAACCCGGAAAACAACTCACAGACATATTAGTTTCATTTATTTCTTGACGTGGCATAACTAAGCATAACAAGCAGTGAAAACTCCCTAAGTTGCGGCATCAACAGCAGCAGAGGCAGAAGCAGCAGCGCAAAACCAGCAGCAGTAGCAACAATAGTTACAACAACAACAGCAATAGCAACAACAGCAGCAACAACAGCAGCAGTGTATCAACACCAGCAGCAATAGCAGCAGTGCATCAACAACAGCAGCAGCAGTAGCAACAACAGCAGCAATAGCAAAAGCAGCTACAACCGCAGCAACAGCAATAGCAACAACAGCAGCAACAACAACAACAGCAGTGCATCAACACCAGCAGCAACAGCAGCAGTGCGTCAACACCAGCTGCAACAGTAGCAACAACAGCAAAAACAGCAGCAGTGCAACAACAGCAGCAGTAGCAACAGTAACAGCAGTAACAACATTAACAGCAGAAACAGCGGCAGCGCATCAACACCAGCAGCAGCGCAACAAAATCAGCAGCAGCGCATCAACACCAACAGCAACGACAGCGGCAGCGCAACAACATCATCATCAGCAGCAGCAGCAATGGTAGAAGCAGCAGCATTAGAATCATCATTATTTGCAGCATTAGTTGTCGCATTAGCAAACTCGGCAGCGGCAAAATTAACTTATATAAAAACAGTAGCAGTAAACAACACTTAAGAGGAAGAAGCAATGCAGAAGTGTTTTTCTTTAAACGTGTGAAACTACACGTATGACACGAAATAACCCAAGAAGCCGTCACCATAATTAAGGTGATTTTCCCTCGAATTGACACTGTTGCAAAAGTAGTTCAAACGGGGCATATTCTTTCAAGTTCAACTCGTCTGCTGAGTCATTATTCATTGGCTCTCCGTCGGGTGTTGTTACCAACACAACTACACATGCTGCCGGTACGTTTGGGAGCCCTCCGATCAGCTACACTCGCACAGTCTTAAATAACTTCCTTTTTTTCTGGATGGACTGAAATGGGATTTAGTAGAGCCAAGCAGTGGTCCTGCGGTGGGAAAACCTGTTGATACAGAATGGTGTCTGCGAAGTAATGGGTAAGATATTTACATTCATGACTTGCAGTTGTATGGAATGTTGTACAGTTGATGCAATTGACATGGTAGACATAGTGTATAGGCACTATGCGTGAGTCGCAGAGAATTGGAACATTTTTAGTTCAAGAAGATGGATGACCGTAGCTACCTATCCAGTTTGCACGGACATGTGGAGGCCACTTAGACTGGGGATTCTGATTTAGTTTGTAGTCAAGAAATCAACTTATGAGCCCTCGACCCAATCTTGAATTAGGATACATTGGGGCGTGTCCTCCATGCCTTCTGAGTATACAACCCACATAGATGTGACCGCAATTTTGTCTTCTGCTGGCTTGTTTTTCAACTGAGTGTCATGGTCAGAACATAGCCTATAGGGATGAATCCCAGCCTGCACCACGGGTCCCTTTTCTCACTTTAAGAGGCCCTCTCGAAAGGAGCTTCTGAACTGGGAAACAAACTACTCCACTAGCTGAAATAAATGGCTGGATTTAATGCGGTATGTGAAGAGCTCAACTCAATGGTTAGGAGAACGAGCTTTGGTGGAATCGACTTTCGTTTTTATATGCTCATGCCGCCAACTCTATTCTATAACATGCTCATTAACGTGGGTAAGTTTTCTTTCCCCTTTTCCAAGAATGAGCGAGGACACGCCCACTCCTCAGATTTACCCTGCGCAATCTTTTTTATAAGTGTTTATGTGCAAAATACCATCTGTGTTTTGGTAGCTTTGTTTACGGCGAAAAACTGGGCCCAGGCGACCTCTGGCACTTATCATGTTTCTTTCAAAAAAGGAATTTCATATATTCGCTGTTTTTTTTTTTGGTTTGGCCGATTCCAACGATCATAACAAGGGATTTACTTGGGCATTTTAAGTGCTAAAGTGGCCCGGATATGCAGTGCATAGCGCATCGAGAGCAAGACGCCTCGGCGACAGCCGTCCAAGAATAAAACATCCCACGGAAGACAACCAACAAAAGAAAGGCAAATATGGATGGAAATCAGGCCTTTATTACCGCACCTTTACTGACACTTGAACTGCGCCCCACAATTTTATTGACCATGTGACCAAGTACAACCCTGTTTTCTTGCAGAGCAAAGTTTTGGCCTGTTTTAAGGGAAGTCATCAAACCTACTGCGATCACCATATGAAACCCTAGGGACTTACTTCAACGTCAACTTTTGGGATGCATGACACGAAAAAACATCAACATACCTCGGGCCTCAATACATAAAAGAAAGCCCCCATGTTTCTGTTCCGCGTACGTATATCTAGCGGAGGGTTCAACGTAGCACCGAAAAAACAGAATGGCAAGAGCTCGCATTCTGAACACCTAACAGGCGCATAAAAATAGTCTGGTTTACGAGGCACGCACGTTCAAGTCCTCACCAGGGACCAGCGGCCGGGTGGTGGGATGGCACACGGGTTAGGAGATCAACCTCCCTGGTCTCTGCTACCAAAACTCACTCGGTCTTTCAAAATTCGTTCAAAACATTCCTGCGGCAATTTCTTTCATGTTTCTCCACTTTCTCACAAAGTGGCAAGATTTTGTTTTCCGCCTTTCCTCTGTCGCGGTACAACTGCAAAACACGGGTGTACATATTTCTTCTTTTCTTTTCTTGGTCTCTTGTCAGCGGGCTCTAGTCCCCCTGGCTCCATCATCGTATACATTACGTGATACGGATACCGCAGAGGTTTCAAGAATGCTAAACGCGGAGATATGACAAACAAACAATTTACAGACTGGAATTTAATCCAACGTACAAGACTCACCGGTAACAATTACGGCATATTTCGGTATTCGTAAAGCGTAATAGACATTTTGAAATATTTTGTATTCCTGTACACCACAGCGACTAATTAGTGACTTGCACTTTTACAAGACAAAAACACATATACATTTATAAAGTATTCTGGAGTAATTGTTTATGTAATTAAAAAGATACAAGATGCGGTTTCCCAGTAAGAGTTTATACCTGGCTTTTCATAAAAGCCACGGCAGTGAGTGACGTTACTGATGACGTAACATGGAAAGTTGTGATTAGCTGTTGCTTAAAGGGTAATTTTAGTTACATAATAGATGTAATTGTGTTTTTGAAATTGTCTGCCTAATTTATTTTTTTTTGGTAGAGGACAGAAAATTGTCTTTTTTTTGCCAAAAAATCATTTTGGCGGCAAAAGTTGTTCAAAAAGGGTACAGTGGTTTGTCAAAGTCTTTTAACATCTCTAAAAATAATTCTCCATAAATGTGTCAAGTCGATTTTTGCGTGAATCAGTCATCGCCAAGGAAAAAAATTCACGTGACATTCGTTTAGCCAATCCGGGGCCAGGGGCGTGCCCTCGAGAGTTGAGGCCGCGCCAATCAGAGGGCAGTCTGGAGATGGACTCATCAGCCGCGGAGACGCGCATCATTTGGCGGGCAGGAAGAACCTGTTGTTGGACTGCGGTACACTGCAAACCGCCACTTCGGTAGAGACAAAAAAAATCCCAGAGCGTATATGCCTATACCCAGATTGCCGATACGCACGGGATGCTTGTTTGACGAAGAATTTAGATAGTCTGACTCCGTCACTTGGTCACATGTGGCCCTCTTTCACACGATTGGGTTTAAACTTGAAAGCGAGGCTACCCTGGTAAGTAGCAGAATGGATAACGGCGTATCTGGCCAACAGCTTGAGAGGTAATGAGGCAAGGGGCGGCGCTTCGCTGTGGCCCCACTTTTGTGTTACATTGGCGACTCCATACAGGAGCACATTTAGCCTAGGCAAATAAGCCCTATAACGCATGTCTATGGAAAAAACTGTAGCCAGTGGCTTGTAGCTCCCACAAGCACATGTGTTATTCCCGGCCGTAGCCAAGCAATTCGAACACGGTCCTACTGTAGGGCCAACCTGTCCAGATTTAAAGAGATCTGTTTCGAGATAAACAGGCAGACATTTACTCGTTAGTGTCATAGTCACCACAACGAGGATAAAAGCAAGTATCTTGGACGCGGCTTTATGCTCGAAAAGTTTCTTGTTCGCGAAACGTCTCCTTTGCTTCTATTGGTGTATCTTGTTAATTCTTTGTTTTTGTTTATATTTAATATTGGCCTTGTAGGAGTGTTTCGCGGTAGAAAAAAATCGCGGGTAAAAACAATACAAGATGAACACATGTAAGGTTAAACAGAATGACGCAAAGTGTTCAATATAATTATGATTGCCTTGTTCTAAAATTAATTGTTAAATCCATTACTTGTTAAATCCATCCAGTATTATTAAAGTACAATCATCAAGTATCAATCACCAATCATTTGTTTCGTTACACGAAACGAACAAGGTTTGTAACAGACATAACTGACGTTCAAAGGTTCTCCCGCTCCAGTTTGGCGAGCGAGACACTCATGGTCCACTTTTGATAAATCCCTCAAGGGTACATAAGCTTTGCTTAAAAATGCGATAGGTAAAGGCATTTGTGTCTGCATATTACTTCCACAAAATCTGAGAGAGCCTTCTTTTTCTTTATTTGTTTTTCTTGGCCATATTGCAGACATGGTCGGCAAAATCGGAAGATTTTTTCGGCAATGAAAACCGTAGAATCAAAAAGGGGCGCCTTATAATGTGAAGTTTATGGGCACTCCATTATAACGTAGAACAGCCGCAAATACTGAAAGGTTCCCGAACAAGCCATCTTCAGTCGTTTTACTGATAAACTGAGCTTTAATTTTCTCAATGCATTTGCTCTTTTCATTTTGGGTACCGTTAAGGAACGTTGATGGAAAGGATAACCTATAGTAAGCCACTTAACCTTTTCTCAGGAACACTGCCTTTATTTTGGCGAGGGGAAGGTAACTTGAATATTCATATATGTTCCTATTATTCTGTAGGCTGACAAGACCCAATGTACTTCCTCGAGGCCTTGCAGCTGACGCAAACAGCTATTTTAAGGAACTGTCCGCGGTGTTTGGAATGAGGTAAACAGAACAATTAGTCAGAGCCCACGCCACATCTTTCTCTCGTTAGCGTTGAAGGTCGCTGGGGACCAGAGATAGGAAGAGCAGTTCGGAAGTGTATGGTCCCCACTGTCGTGTGCGAGCCGAACCCTCCGGCTAACCGTCCCCCATACCACCCCCGAAACCCGATGTTAGTTAAGCTCGTTCGTCGGTCGCTTTAGGGGGAGGCACAAAACAGGACTGTCCGGAAAAAACCTGCAGGACAGGAAAAAATTACCCCTACCTCATTAGTTAGGTATCTGCAAGGTCAAAGGACCGGCTATCGTTGGGCCTAACTTGCGGCAAGCGAATGGAAAGCTTCTTTCTTTACGAACGGATGCAATAGTGGAACAGATTTGAATTCAGAGCCCCAAAATAATTTTCGCAACACTAAAGCCAGGGAGGCTTCACCTGTAGTGAAGGGACTCGCGTAATTGGAAGTTTTTATATGTTTCAACTGACCTGCGTTGTGCAAATGTGTTTTACTTATTATGATTTATTGGCATTTCTCCCGCTTGCTCTATAGACGTCCCATTTATAGCAGCATTATTTTCTTTGGTTGAATTCTTCAGGAAGTCCCAACTTCACAAAACAATTTCTCGGTGTTTCCCTAGACTCTCGCGGGAGTCTGTCTTCTCCTTTACCGCCTGGCGACATGGTTACGCCCCCTGACTAGCGTACCGTAATTTCTACCTGCTCTGCTTTAGAATAGAAGATGACATCGGATGTGTTTCTTGTAGAGAAAAACCCATGTGACCTGGCCAGTGTAATAACCACCGCGCTCATGATGTAATACCGAACTTGCACTTGACGTGCCATCTTGCCAAAACACCAATCGAAACGATTTCCAGACACTGGTGGTTGTTACAAGGGTTTGATTCGAAATCGGACAGTACATTTTTACGGGCGAGCCCCTTCAAGGGACGGGCTTTGCCTGGCCTGCGTGCCCCCTCTCCGGGGGCCAAGAAACGCTGTCGCCGCTAGTAACAGAATGTACATGTATTTGTCATCGTTCCGAATTGCTGAGGTGACGTACACACCACGGACCCTCCGTGCACACACACCCACACCACGCGCATGTACCTGTACACCAGAGGCTCCCACCGAAATCACCGTCACCTTTCTTCAAAAAGGATCCAAGAATCAGAGAGGAAATTGACTTAGCCAGGTTGAAAATCCAAGTTATGCCGTGCGTATTGAGACATCGAAGTCAAACTGAAGGTCATTTCAGAACACCTTGGCCCCGCCTAGCTGCCCCTATATGGTCACTCCACTTTTCATGGTTCTTGCACGGCCGTTGATCTTCCGGTATTCGGCTGATTCGGGGCCTTGACATCACTGGAACTTGTGCACAATCCCATTAATTTGATAAAGGACTACGCAGCATCAGGCGGAAATAAAACACAAGGCCATGTTTGAGGACGCCTTTGGGACATGTCCGCAATTCAAACCGAAAAAGGGTTTCACTTCTCTCCTGAAGATCTGTATCGTTCTTCACTTTCTGCCTTTTTTGTGTTGTACTATTTCTGTGCGCCAAAGTTGAAAGTTGACTAAACGACGTGCGGGGACCAACGAGAAAAAAAATTACAGTGATAGTCTGAGAGATATTGGGTTACTTTTCTCGGTGGAGAAACAAGTTTATTTTAGAGCGTGACACGACTGATAACTGACTTGCCGGGACGAGTCAGCGCATGGGCATACGAGCAAGTCAGCTGGTGTGCTGTCTTGGCAAGAAGCCTGGGATTTTGTTGAGGGGCCTTTCTGAACTTTTCCCCTCTTGGATTGGATGTGCATGGTTCGCGCCTCGCCCGGCATTGGGGCGAACTGTTTGTTTTACAAGTCTTGTTTCATTCACACTTCTTACGGATGGAATTAGCCACTCTCTGCTACTGAATTTTGGGCGAGCTTCTTCTTAAAAGGGGTAAGTTTTTTTGTTTTGTTTTATTTTGGTTGCTCTCTCTTTGTGTAGTTTGCAAATCTAAATAAAAACTTCATTTTAATTTCTCCTACAATATGTAGGAATACAACATGTACATTTTGTAACAATATGCTAACTTATAATTATGAATTTTGTTCGTCGCGCGTTGCGAAAGGACTAAACCCTATACGGTATCTGTTGTAACGCCGGTAAGCATATTTTGTCTAGGCATGTAGACTTTCTGACCAATCAAAACGTTTGGTTGGCAATGATCAAGGCATGAACTGTTGTAAATTGGCATAGTTTCGTTTCCAAGTTGTTCAGAGATACTGATTGCATCAACGCGTGGAAATTTCTCTGTCAAGTGTCCAGTCATTTCATTTTAAAAGGTTAGAGGAGCTTGTTAATATAATGCATCAGGGGGGTCTTGCAAGCACACACTTAAGCATAGACAGCTGTCTTTGAATTTCTCACATAACTCCATCCGCAGGAAACAGTTATTAATCATTAATTTAAGACTTGTTAGAATGTGCGAAATATAATCAGGGGAGAGATTGGAGAAAACTGAAATATCTACAAAATGTTCATCAGAGGTTTTTAAAGGCCCAACAGTAGCAGAGGGTCTATTTGTGTTTGCCTCAAGACACCTTTTTATATACCAATTTCTTGTGTTATTTATCACTTTTTATATGGAGGAACATCTTAATGGGATGGTAAACTCAGGACTTTCAAGGTGTTAACAGAGCTTGTTTTAGGAGATCCTGAAATCAGGAAAACCCTGATGGAAAATCCTGACAAATCTCACTGTATCTGGAGCAGACCGTCTTGAAGACGTTTATATAGACAAGTAGAGTGCAGAATGCATCCGCAAATCTGAAGAATGACCCCGAAAGAATGTACCTTGTACTCTGCTTAGATCTTAATCGTCTCCAATGTTATGTCCTCCTTCACTCATCCCCACTTGTAGTGCACGGGAGTACCTCGTTTCGTGTTCATTTAATGCAAACATTGGGACAGAGAGAACCCCCCCCCGCCTTTGTGTTGGTCATTGTTACATTGGTATATCAGGAATATCAGGATGTGTCAAGTAACAATAGGCTGGAGTGTGTATAGGGATTGGACTTGTTGAGGGGGTACCCCTCTGTCTCATTTCGTGCCTGGTATATTCGTGTAGGTGGTCTACGGATGATGCGAGGAAACATTTGCAATTGGGTATGTCCTGCACGGCCAAGCCCCGCTCTTTGTAAGCGCTAACTGTCGAATCTTTCAGGTTTCTCCCTCATTGCCCCGAGAAATTGTCAAACGCATGAATTTGGCAGGATCGACTTGGGTTGCAGAGCTCGACGATGTTTCAACCGACATTCTGGAAAATGGTTGCCCCATTTGATGATTAATGCTTGTTCGAAACTGGACCATCGGACGTTCTGTGGACAGTTGTGCAATCTTTTGATTTCGTTGTGGTGTATAGCTTGGGTTGGGCCAGAGCTGTATACAGACAGAATAGCGCCAACTTGAGATTTTGGAACCAATATGGCTGTTCATTATGTGCACATTACAGCACGGAGCTGTTGTGTGCTAATTGTCCATGTGCACTGACGCATAATCCACCTCTTCGGTTCCAACAATTGAGACGCTCATGTCGCAAACTCTCTCCATAAACCTCTCTCGGTTGGGCTGGTCGTTGACTCTGGCTTGTCCTCGCCTTTTGTATTTTGCCATTGTTGGAGGCTATGTCGAGTTTACTGTGGTTCTTACCACTGAAGAGGTATGGATGGGGCGAGCTGCGATAGCCAGAGACTGGGTATTCTGCCACCTTCACCTCAAAAGTGACTTCAAAATGTCAAAGATGCTCATCAACGGTGCCCCGTCCAGGCTTTACAGTCTGACAGGGTAACACACACTGGTACCGTGTGAGATAAAATGGTCCTAAATTCCAACGGGAACAATAGAAACTTTTGTGGGTAGAGCAATAGTTTTAAATAATTTGAAATACGGCTATTAAAAAGGCTATCCTAAATTAACACACTGTGCGTGGCTTTCGTGTGACAGTCTCATCGTGTGCTGTGTTCATGTTTTTATTAATAGTTTAAATTTGTTATTCATGTAATGGATTTTTCATTTTAATTATAAGATTAACTATCAACAGTGGACAGTACTTTTAACTTGAAGCTTACTTCGTGCAGATATTGTAACGAGATAGGCGAAGAATAACTAGGTACACTTACTAACACAAACCAAGAGGCTGTGTGGTTAACTTGATTGTGTGTGCACATCCTTTATTATTTTTAAGGATTATTTAAGCCAAATTTTGTCTCAGCAATATGGAGGGACAACGTGCCACGCGAAGTTCCCATAAAACTTCTTGCTGCGTGCCGAGCTTCGTATGAGACAATCTGAGGCTGCAACATCCGTTTTTTTGCCAGTCATTATGCCGACAGTCACCCCCTACCCTCGGTACTTACCGCCACAGCCGATGCCCCACCCCTTGTATCTATTATCCAAAACCCAGAGCCTGTGTGCTATCGTGTCCTACGCCTAGACAACTATTCTCCAATATGCTGCCCCTCCCCTTTTGAAGTCCTCGTTACATCCTTATAGCGCTGCTTGTACTTCCTTTTTCAATTATCCGTCGCAATTGAAGCACTGTATACGAGTATTGCCGTCCACAGGACGTGACGTCCTTGTGAAATTAACAGCCGTTTTTTATTTATTCCATAACAAACCATAATGTCAAGTATTCCTTGCAGTAATGTTGTTGACGTACTCGAATGGGCTTTCCAATCTATTCTACTTTGCACTGTGGTTTGGGAAAAGCTAAAAGTTAAAGAGCAAAGAACAATAGCTACAAACAATGGCTGCATGCACTGTTCGGCATGCGCTTCGGCATCCACTTCGAACACAGAGCGAGGGTTCCCCTCGTTTTCTCCAAATGACGCAATCTACATTCAGAATTTACAACTTGGCACGAACAGAAAAAGTTCTTCTTAGCTTATTACAGTTGAGCTCTAAAAACAAATGACACTGTGCTCGAGTTGGTTGCTTGCATATTTATTTGAACAGATAAAATCAGAGAAAACGTGTTTTCCTTAGCGGTGCTCTTTAACGTTCCGTTTTTCTTTCAAACATGGGAACAGTAATCGTGAGTCAAAACCGAAAATGTGAAGCACTACATCGAAGATTGCAACTGACACCACCGGCTCCGTCTGCCGGGGGGGGGATTCTGGCGTACTCACCCCTGGTGTAAAGGCCCGGGCTGGAGTTCAAGTTCACAGCGATGTGTCAGAGAAAGAGAGGTGTTGTCTCACTTCGCTCATCGTGGGCAGTGGAATAAATCAGAGAAAGAGAGAGCAGTGATGGGAAAAGAAGAATAAAATGTGCTCAAGAATGGTCTGACGCACGCTAGGCACATAATGCACGTGTACATGTCTCGTTGGGCAAAAAAGCTTACATACACTTCGTTGAAAAAAAGTTTTCCTCAATTTGTCGCTGTTCGAAATAGTTGCCTTTTTTTCTCTATGGGGTCAGACAAAGGGTATCTCAATTAATGTTCATAATGAGTACTTCAATTGAAAATACTCTAGACATTTATTGTGGTTCAAAATGTTAATATTTCTGAAAAAAATAATTTGTGAAAATTTACATTTACCCTCTTCTTGTCGTTCAAAACAATTAAGAAAGTGGTCCACTGCGACTATGAGATGTGAAAAAAATACAGAAAGTGGCACTAAATATTAGGGTTGCAGTATGTAAAGTTAGATTTTTGTAAATATAAATATGAATCATATATACATGTATGTCTCTGGGTGTTTTATTTGACGCATACACCATGTACAGTACGTAGAGACTCATCTTATCTGTCCTGATAAAAAAAAGTTGGTAGGAATGAGTTAAGTTGTGAAAGAAAACTGTTTTTGTTCTACCAGGTGTATGTAAACTTTTTGCCCCATCTCTACATGTACAAGTACTGTATGTATGGTTACCGGAACGTCGTGATTCATCAAGTCACGACATGTGTCGTGAGATGCGAGGAGGGAGGCGTGGCTTACAGTGTTTCCTTTGGGGGAAGCGGTGAACTGAAAGTGCAACCGTCCTTTGGTCTCGCGTTGCCCAACGACCCTGCCTCTGGCACACTTTCGAACCTTGAATCAATCATGCCTATCGCGACATTGTCTAGAATCTGTGGTCGCTTAAATACAGTGAATACGCCAACACTTCATTTTCTCGTATGACTAACAACCTGTCTCTGCAGCATGCTTTGCTGATACTTGGAAAGTTGAAACGCGATGTATCCATGAGATACGAGTGAACTTTTGTGACTACCATAAAGACAGCTTACAGTATTGAGCTTTGCCCTTAACTTCCAATCTCCTCCACGTATACATGCCATTGCAAATTTGGACAACCCAGGCACGGATGGGGGGGGGGTGGTGGTGTCGAAATCCCTGCTTTGAGACGAAACCAATGTAAAAATTGGGGACGAGAATAAAAAGAATGCCATGTAATGTTTCATCATCGTTCTCGCTTGTCAGCAAAAATTAGACATTCACAAATCTCCAGTCTGACCCTCCTTGGAAAAATGTCTGGATCCGCCCCTGCAACCTATACGTTATCTGTTGGCGAGGGGGGGGGGGTTGGCTCAAAGGGGCATCCCGATCCTTCACCAAAGGCCTCTGCCTCAGCTTCAGTGACATAACAACGCCGGAAGGGTGAACACCCCCCGCATTCAAAATGTATATACATACCCCAGTTCCTTTAAGCCGCTGCCCCGCCCCCTTTGCTCCCTCCTAAATCTCACCCTAGTTATTGTTGTCCTCGAGAAAATGACAGCCTAGAGCCTCTCTTTGAATTGGTTCCTAGCAATTAATGCTGCTTGTCTGTTGGTAAACTGACCGATCATGCTATGTCAATTTAAGTTTTGTGGGCTGTGTCTTAGGAATTCGAGAACAACTTTGTGTATTCACCGGACTTGACGGTTTTACTGTGGCAGGCCGAAGTAATGCGAA